CACACCGGCCAATGCTCCATTAATTTTCTGAAGGGAAATAAAGTGGGGAGACTGGGCGCCTCCCACAACAGATATTTCTCTTCCCCCCTTGTCCCAGAGGCTGGAAGGCGGAGACCCGGGCGTGGGCAGGGCTGACATCTCCTGAGGCCTCTATCCTTGGCGTGTAGGCGGCCGTCTCCTCCCTGTGGGCTCCCGAAGTCATCCCTCTGTGGGTGCCGTCTGTGTCCTCATCTCTTCTTCCTTTTTTTAAACAAGAGACAGGTGGCCAGCTGGTGTGGCTCAGTGGTTAAGCATCAAGCTATGAACCAGGAGGTCAGGGTGTGATTCCCCGTCAAGGGCTCGATCCCCTGTCGGGAGGCAGCCAATCAATGATTCTCTTTCATTATTGACTAGAGGCCCGGTGCACAAAATTCATGCGCTCGGGGTGGGGAGGGTCCCTCAGCCCGGCCTGCACCCTCTTACATTCTGGGAGCTCTCAAAGCTGGCCTAAGCCGTCAGTCGGACATCCTTCTGGCTGTGGGAGCGCACTGACCACCAGGGGGCAGCTCCGGCATTGAGCGTCTGCCCCCTGGTGGTCATTGTGCATCATAGCAACTGACATCTCCCCAGGGGTCTCTGATCGGGGCTGGGGAGAGACATAGGAGGTTAGGCAGCTGGGGAGGGACCACGGGAGGGCACCAGGGCGTGTCCAGCCCGTCTCAGTCCCGATCGGCCAGACCCCAGCAGAAAGCTAACCTACTGGTCAGAGCGTCTGCCCCCTGGTGGTCCGTGAACGCCATAGCGACCGGTCGGCTGCCCCGTGGTGGTCAGTGCACGTCAGAGCGACCGGTCGGCTGCCCCCTGGTGGTCAGTGCACGCCATAGCGACCGGTCGGCTGCCCCGTGGTGGTCAGTGCACGTCAGAGCGACCGGTCGGCTGCCCCCTGGGGGTCAGTGCATGTCATAGCGACTGGTCGGCTGCCCCCTGGTGGTCAGTGCACGTCATAGCAAGCAGTTGAGCTGCCTCAGCATAATCATTAGCATATTACACTTTGATTGGCTGAATGGCCATTTGAACGGACACTTAGCATCTTAGACTATTATCATAGAAGATGTTTCTATCTCTCCCTCTCCTTCCTTTCTGAAATCAATAAAATATATTTTTAAACAGGAGAAAGTTTGCCTATTTATATTTTGTTGTTGTTAATCCTCACCCAAGGATATTTTCCAGTTGATTTTTAGCGAGAGCGGAAGGGAGAGAGAGAGAGAGAGAGAGAGAGATTTTTGGCCC